GGGACAGCACGCCAGCAGGGCTTGAGCGTGTGAACCCGCCGCATCTTGGGCATGTGGCAGTTGGAGCTTTCACCCGAGAAACGTGCAACAAGAGTTGGCCACAGAAATCTCTAGTGTGCAGGGGTTGATTTTTAATAAAACTGGGGTACTGAGGAAATTCTGGGGAGAATTTGTAAAAGGCAAATTGGGCTGAGCTCGATGAGAGGTTGGCAAATTGGCCTGACCAGTCTGGATAGCTCGGAGTACGTAATAGAAAGGCTGACATAGGGTTTAGCTCATAATTACGATCTTGTCCATCAGGTGTCCTACAGTACACATTTAAATGTGTGGTTTCACGAATATAGTTTTGTAAGAAGAATCTGTTTGCTGTGACAAGTTTGTCTGACCACAGGTAGATGTCAAAGTGGGATTCACCTGGTACCTGAGGTACTGCACACTTCCATTAAAAGACTGGCACGGGGCAGTGCCTGTAACATGTGCGTTATTCAGATTATAAATCAGCGAGCAGCCACAGAAGCAGTTGCTTTGGGGGCAAATCATCTTCTTTTGATAGGGCTGCTCCTGGCTCTGGAGGGATCGATGCTTGGCCTGAAGCTACTGAACACTCTCATCAGTGATCTGGAAATAAATGTGCTACCGGTGCTCGTAAGGCTGAGCAGATGACACAAACGGGCAATTTGTCAGCAGCAGCAGGACAGGGCTGAGCAGCCTGGGTGCTTGCGAGGCGCGTTTCCGGCAAACACGTGCCCGGAGGTCCCTCTGGAGCGCCGGCTGCCCAGCGCTGTCCCCAAGGGGCTGATCAGCGGGAAACAGAGGATGTGCTGAGACAGGTTTAAAATAAAACGGAGCAGGGAGGAGCAAGGGGAGCTCACCTTGAGATTCGGTGGTGCTGGACGGAGGCTGCAGGCCGCCGCAGGAGAGGGCTGCGGCACTGAGCACCTTGGCCAAGTACCTCTAAATTTAGCCAAACGGCACATATTGGATGCAGCGCATAGTGAGAGCAGGAAT